ACCATGCAAGGAGGAAAAAAACTTCAAAAAACCACCACTAATACCTTCCTAGAAATAAGAGATAATATTCTATCTATTAGGAATCGGATGCTATAAAAAAATAACATTCAAGAAAACAAAAAAGAGGTCTCAAATGCAATTGAACATAAGTTCTTCTTGGCTTAAAATATATTATTATAACTACAAGACACTTTACATTTAAGCTCCATTTTAAACAATAAAGAAAATACCTATAGAGATAAAAGAAAATGAGAAAGGAAAAAGCACATCACTACAAAAAAAAAAATCAATGGAACACAAAGGAAGACATCATGAGAGGAAAAGAGGGACAAAAAAGCTACAAGATGGAAAACAACTAATGAATGGCAATAGTAAGTCCTTCCCTAGCAATAATTACATGTAAATGGATTAAACTCCCTAATCAAAGACATAGAGTGGCTGACTGAATAAAAAATTAGATCCAACTATTATGGTATCTACCAGAAACTCACTTTAAACTTAGGACCACACACAGGCTGAAAATGAAAGGATAGAAAACACAGTCCATGTAAATGGTAACCAAATGAGGGCAGGAGTGGTCATACTTACATAGACAAAATAGACTAAGTCAGAAACTGTCACAAGAGACAAAAATGGGCATTATGTAATGGTAAAAGGATCAATTCACCAGGAAGACATAATGACCATAAATACATATGCACCCAGCCTCAGAGAACCTAAATATATGAAATAAACATATAAAGAACTAAAGGGAGAAATAGGCAGCAGCATAATAACACTAGGAGATTTCAATACCTTACTCCCACTAGCAGAAGCAAAACTAGAAAATTCACAAATATGTGAAAATTAAACAAAATGCTCTTGAAAAACTAATGGGTCAAGAAGAAATTAGAAGGGAAATTAGAAAATATCTTGAGACAATGAAAATGAAACCACAACATACCAAGATTTATGGGATGCAGCAACAACAGTACTAAAAGGGGAGTTTATAATGATAAATATCTACATCAAAAAAGAAAATCTCAAATAAATAATGCTATACTGCAAGGAAGAAAAAGAACAAATCAAGCCCAAAGTTAGCAGAAGGGAAGAAATACAGCTTAGAGAAGAAATAAATAAATGAAATAGAGATTAGAAAAACAATAAAAAATAATCAACTAAACAAACAGCTGTTTGAATAAAATTGACTACCTTTAGTTACACTAAGAAAAATGAGGAAAGACTCAAATAAAATCAGAAATGAAAGGGAAGAAATTATAACTGATGTCACAGAAATATAAAGGACTATAAGATACTACTATGAATAATTATATGCGAACAAATCAGATAACCTAGAAGAAAAGGATAAATTCCTATATACAATCTACTAAGACTAAATCATGAAAATATAGGAAAATCTGAACAAATTTATAACTACTAATGAGACTGAATCAGTAATCAAAAACCTCCTAACAAAGAAAATCCCAGAACTAGATGGCTTCAGACTAGATGGCTGCACAGGTGAATGCTACCAAACTTTTTAAGAATTAACACCAATCCTTCTCAAACTGTTCCAAAAAACTGAGGAGGAGGGAATCTTCTCAAACCACTTTGATGGTGCCAGCAATACCCTGATACCAAAAGAAAAAAAAATTACAAGAAGAAAACCATAGTCCAATATCCCTGGTAAATACAGATTTTTAAATTCTCAACAAAAAAACTATAAAACCAAATCTAAAAGCACAAATGTGATGTATTCCTGGGATGCAAGGATGGCTCAACATATGAAAATCAATCAATGCGATATACATTAACAAAATAAAGGATAAAAGTCACACGATCATCTTAATATAGAAAAAGTATTAGACAAAAATCTGACAACCTTTCATGATAAAAATGCTCAGCAAACTAGGAATAGAAAGAATTTACATTAACATCAGAAAGGCCATATATGAAAAGGCCCCGGCTAACTCATACTGAAGAGTGAAAAACTGACAGCTTTCTAAGATCAGGAACAAGTTAAGGATGCCCAATCTTGCCAATTCTATTCAAGATAGTACTGGAGGTACTAGCCGGAGAAATTAGACAAGAAAAAAGAAATAAAGGGCATCCAAATTGGAGAGGAAGAAGTAAAACTATGTCTGTTTGTATATGACATGATCCTATGTGTAAATAATCCTAAAGACTCCACAAACTGTTAAAAGTAATAAACAAATTCAGTAATGTTGTAGGATACAAAATCAACATACAAAAATTAGTAGCATTTGTTTATATTAACAAAAAAACTGAAAGGGAAATCAAGAAAACAATTCCATTTACAATAGCATAAAAAAGAATAAAATACTTAGGAATAAGCAACCATGTAGCTGAAAGACTTGCACACAAAAACTATACAACATTAAGGAAAGAAATTGAAAAGACAAATAAATGGAAAGACATCCCAAATATGGTTACAAGTATTAATATTGTCAAAATGCATACTACCCAAAGCATCCATAGATTCAATGCAATTCTTATCAAAATCCCAACAGCAACTTTTATGGAAATTATTAAAAATTCTAAAATTCATATAGAACCACAAGAGATCCCAAATAGACAAAGCAATCCTAAGGAAGAACACTGCAGGAGGCATCACATTGCCTGATTTCAAACTACAGTAATCAAACAGTATGGTACTGGCATAAAAAAGACATATTAACAAATAGGCCAGAATAGAGAGCCCAGAAATAAATCACATATTTATGGTATCTTTGATAAGGGGGGAAAGAATACACAATGAGGAAAAGACAGTCACTTCAATAACTGGTGATGGGAAAACTAGATATACACTACAAAAGAATGAAATTGGATGACTATCTTACACTATATATAAAATCAACTCAAAATGGATTAAAGACGTAAAAATAAGATCTGAAACTCTACAGCTCCTAGAAGAAAACAAAATAATTTCTTACCTATGATATCAAAAGCACAGCAACAAAAGCAAAAATAGACAAGTGAGTACTGTATCAACCAAAATCCTCCACAGCAAAGGAAACCATCAGCAAAGTGAAAAGGCAATCTACAGAATGGGAGAAAGTATTTGAAAATCACATATCTGATGAATGGTTAAAAACTAAAATATGTGACTCCTGCAATATAATAGTTAAAAAAAAACAAATGACCTACTTTTAATAAATGGACAAAAGAGCCAAATAGATATTTCTTCATAAAAGACATAAAATGGCCAATAAGTATATGAAAAGATGTTCAACATCATTAATCATCAGGGAAATGCACAACCTCAATTAGATGTTACCTCTTGTCTATTATGATGATTATTTCTAAAAAATCAAGAGATAAGTGCTGGTAAAGATGTGGAGATGTACACTGTTTGTGGGAATGTAAATTGGTACAACCATTATAGAAAACAGTATGGAGATCTCACAAAAGTAAAAAGAGAACTTATCATATAATCCATACTTCTGAGTATATACCAAGAGAACTGGAATCAGGATCTGGAAGAAACATCTGCATCCTTATGTTCATTGCAACATTATTTACAATAGCAAAGACATGGAAACAACCTAAATTTCCACTGACAGATGAATGGATATAGAAAATGTGGTATATAAATACAACATAACATTATTCAGCCTTAAGAAAAGAAGGAAATCTTGTCATTTGCCACACACAGGAACTCAGAAGACATTATGCTAAGTGAAATAAACCAGACACAGAAGATCAAATACTACATGATGCTGCTTATATCAGAAATCTGGAATAGTCAATACTCTCAGAGAAGCAGAGAATAGAATCATATTTACCAGGGGATTGGAGGTAATTAGATTAATTGGGTAATTGTTCATCAAAGGATATATACTTTCACTTATGCAAGAGGTGTAAGTCCTATAGATCTACTGTATAACACAGTGCATATAGTTAACAATACCATATTGGAAGCTTAAAAATCTGTTAAGAGGGTATATCTTATATGTCCTTATCAACAGGAAAAAAGAGGGAAAGAAGAAATTTCTGGAGGTGATGGTTAAGTTCAGGGACTTATATGTGGTGATGATTTGTTTCATGGTGTATACTTACCCTCAAATTCAAGATGCATACATTAAATATGTAAAGTATTTCTATATGTCAATCATGTCAATGAAAAAAAAAACTTAACCAATAAGGCAAAGGACTTGTACACTTAAAACCACAAAACATTGCTCAAAGAAATTTAAGAAGATACAAGTAAATGAAAAGATGTCTCATGTTCATGGACTGGAAGACAATTTTCTTAAAATTGTCCACACTATCCAAAGTGATCTACAGATTAATGCAATTCCTATCAAAATTCCAATAGTAGACTTAACAGGAATAGAAAAAATAATTCTAAAATTCATATGGAACCGCAAGACCTTAAACAGCCAAAGCAATTTTGAGAAATAAGAACAAAACTGGAGGTCTCATACTTAATAATTTCAAAATATATTACAAATCTTCAGTAATAAAAACTGTATGATACTGGCATAAAGACAGACATACTGACCAACAGAACAGAATAGAAAGTCCAGAAATAAACCCACACATATATAATCACTGATCAAAAAGGGGGCCAAGAATACACAATGGGGAAAAGATAGTCCCTTCAATAAATGGTGCTGGGAAAAGGTGACATCCACATGCAAAAGAATAAAGCTGGACTCTTTTTTTATACCATCCACAAAATTTTTTTAAAAGGGATTGGAGACTTAAAAATAAGATCTGAAACTCTAAAACTCCTAGAAGAAAACATAGGAGAAAATCTTCATGCCATTGGCCTTGGCAATGATTTCCTGGATACTATATAAGAAGCACAGGCTATGAAAGTAAAAATAAAGTGGGACTCTATAACTAAAATGCTTCTGCACATCAAAGGAAACAATCAGCAAAGTGAAAAGGCAATCTATGGAATGGGATAAAATATATGAAAAACATATAACTTGATTATAGAAGTTAATATCCAAAATATATAAGGAACTTCTATGTCAGTAGCAAAAAGACAACCCAATTTTCAAAAACAGGCAAAAGACCTAAACAGACATTTCCTCAAATAAGTGCTGTCGAGGATGTAGAAACTGGAATTCTTGCACACTGTTGGTAGGAATATAAAATGGTGCAGATGCTATGAAGAATAGTATGGAGTTTCCTCAAAAAAATTAAAAATACAACTATCATACATGGACCAGCAAGTCCCACTTTTGGGTACTTATTCAAAATAATTAAAATCTGGACCTCAAAGAGGTATCTGAACTCACACGTTTATTGCAGCACTGTTTGCAATACCCAAGAGGTGGAAACAACCGAAATCTCCATCATGGATGAATGGGTGAAGAAAATATTGTATATACATAGAGCAGAATATTATTCAGTCAGAAAAAAAGAAGGAAATCTTGTCATTTGCTACAACATGGGTGAACCTTGATGGCATTATGGTAAGTGAAATAAGCCAGTCACAGAAAGACAAAGACTGTATGATCACACTTATATGTAGTATCTATAGTAGTCAAACTCATTGAAGCATAAAGTAGAATAGTGGTTGACAGGAGTGTGGAGGAGGGGAAAATGGGGAGTTGCTCTTCAATAGTTATAAAGTTCAGTCATGAAATTTGAAAAAGTTCAAGAGATCTGTTATACAACAGTGTGCCTCTAGCTAACAATACTGTAATGTACACTTAAAAATTTGTTAAGAGGGCAGATCTCAGGTTATGCATATTTTAGTATAATAAAAAATGGATGGAGTGACAAAGAGACATCTCTATATGTTAGCTGGCATAAAGTTATACCCTTTATAGATAAAAGGAACTTGAGAAGAATTAAGACAGGAGCAGCAAAAGCAAAGAAAAAATAAAGCCCATTTAAATGACTTAACCATTAGAAGGTATGAATATATTAAACATTGTAATAAGCAGTAGACTCTATCTCAAAGTCTTTAGAAGCTGAATATTCACATATTTAGCATTTAACTAGTATCTTAAAAGCAAGGGCATAGGGCAACTGACTTATGATTTATCTGAGTGATTACAGGTGAGCTAGAGTTTTGACCCTGAAATACTCATCATGAAAGTATCATCAAATTAAATAATCATAGAAAAGGGTATGTGAAACATATTGCAATATTCTCACCAAAAGTAGGAAAGATTCATACTAAGATTGTTCCCTTTGATATGAACATTTTTTAAAAATCAAGAGGGCTTCTAGTCAAAGTGGCTCGGTCACTTCTTGCTTGGATGCATCTTCTCTGCTCCAAAAACACAGACACACACATACATACATATATCCCATACACAGGTATGTATGTATGTGTATATCCACAACATACATATATATTCATATGTATGCATATATATAAAGGTACACACAAAGATATCGCTAGACTTGAATACAAGATAAGCATTTCTGTGAAACAGAAAAACAAACTCCAAATGATAATAGAGGATGAAGCTCTTCCTAGCATCCCTGTGCAATACACAGTATTGTTTTACGTTTTGAACTTTACACAAATGTTATTATACTGTATGTATTCTGCAGCTACCTGTTTAAAATTTTTTTAAACACTTTACTTTTTATAAGTTTGTTTTAGAGAAAAACTGAGAAAGTATTACAAAGAGTTCCCATGTAACCCTCAGTTTTCCCTATTATTAACATCTTACATTTGACTATAGCTTGCATAAATTAGTATTGCTATATGATTATATAAAGCCCATAGTTAATTTAGATTTCCTAAGTTTTTCCTTAATGTCCTTTTTCTGCCCCAGGATCCCATCCAGGATGCCACAGTACATTGTTTTCATGTATCTTTAGGCTCTTCCTGGCTGTGTCAGTTTCTTGGACTTTCCTTCTTTATAATGATCTTGACAGTTTTGAGGAGTAATGGTCAGTTATTTTGTAAGATGCCCCACTACTAGAATTTTTCTGGTGTTTTCTCATGGTGAGATTGAGATTATGTATTATTAGGAGGAAGCCCACAGAGCAAAAGTGTAATTTTGATCATATCAAATGAAGCATGCACAGTCATAAATCATGTTGACATTGGCCTTGGATCACCTGGCTGAAGTAGTATGTGCTCGGTTTCTATATTATAATGTTGCTCTTTTTTTTCTGCCTTTTCATACTGTACACTTTGGAAAGAAGTCATTATAAGTAGTTCAAAACCACGAAGTGGGGAGTTATACTCTCCCTTCTTTAGGTAGAACACCTACATAAATGATTTAGAACTCTGCATGGGATATTTGTCTCCCCCATTTATTGATTTATTCATTTTATTTATTATCAGCATGGACACATAGATTCTTATACTATACTTTGGGTTATAATCCAATATTAATTTACTTAGTTTGTCACAAATTGTTCCAACATTGGTTATTGGAAACTCTTTCAGTTGGCTCCTGTGCATCTTTGACAAGCCCCCAACAATGTTTTTATGTTGTTTTTATTATTTCCTTACTTTTTGTCATTTCAAGATGCTCAAGGCTCATCTCGTATATTTCCTGCCCCAGTAATAGAACAAACCATTTCTTGAAGGAGCTCTGGTTCCTTTTATTAGAGAATGGTATTAGGAACTAAGACCTTGTTGCTGCTGCAGTGTCGTTTCATTTAGACCCTCTCAGCTGACAGAGAAGAAAAACCGTTTATACTGACTTGTATGTATACACATATTTATAAATATTTCTCCATGTAACCATATATATCTATTTTATGCTAAACATGAATTCACAATGATGTCTCCAACTCTAAACCATTATCACATGGATCATTCTAGCTTCCTCCCTTTGCTTAACTGTAAATTCCAACAGTGAGAAACCTGGCTTCCACCATCTGCCATCCATTGCTACCTTTCCTTATACATGTATATCAGTACCAGAATTGTTAACCAGTACCCGTATGGGATACAACCGTGTCAACTAGGATACAGTGATGGTGTGCAGTCTTGTTTGTCTTTAGTTTTCCAGACTCCACAAATTTCCAAAGATCTTAGAGGTCAGCACCTTTCCCAACCTAACTTCATTGAAGTTGCTTCATGTATGAACAACAGTTAGTTTTTCTTGCCACAGTGTGCATTCTTTCCTGGGGCTCTGAAATTTAAAAATATTTGTATAAATTAAAGGTCATTTTTTACGTTGTACAGTTTTATGGGTTTTGACAAATCCATGTCTTGCATCTACCATAACAGAATAATTTTACTGCACTAAAAATCCCATGTGCTTCACCTATTCCTCTTTCCCACTGCCCCCAAACTCCTGGCTATCATTGATCATGTACTGCCTCTACAGTTTTGTGTTTTCTGTGATATCATATAATTGGAATCATACAATATGTAGTCTTTGCCTACTGGCTTCTTTCAGTTATTAATATAAATTTATAGTCTAGGTCTTTATGTGGCTTGACAACTTTTTTTTTTGATCTCTGCATTATATTCCATTGTACAGATGTAGCACAGGTCAGTGTATCCATTCATTCATTGAAGGACATCTTGATTATTTACAGTTTTTGTCAGTTATGAATAAACAGCTATGAAAATTCACATGCTGGTTTTGTATTAATATAGGTTTTCAAATCAGCTAATAACTAGGGGCACAAATATTAGACTGTATGGTAAAACAATGTTTGGCATTGTAAAACACTTCCAAACTGTCTTCTAAAGAAGTTGTACTATTTTGTATTCTCTCCAGGAATGAATGAGTCCTGTTGTTCAGTATCCCTAATAGTATTTGGTATTGCCAATATTATTGTGAATTTTAGCCATTTTAATAGGTATATAATGGCATCTTATTGTTTTATTTTGTAATTCCCTGATGACAAATGATGGTGAGTTCCTTTTCAGAAGCTTATTTGACATTATATGTATAACTTATTTGGTGAGGTGTCTCTTCTTTTGACAATTTTTAATTGGGTTGCTTGTTTTACTACTGCTGAGTTTTAGTTCTTCCTATATTTTGAGTACAAGTCCTTTTAATAAAGGACATTGTTTTGCAAATATTTTCTTCTAGCCTGTGCCTTGTTTTGTGTTTCTCTTAAAAGTATCTTTCACATAACAGTTTACAGTTTTAGTAAAGTCTGATTTACTCATTTTTTTCTTTCACAAGTCATGCTTCTGGTGTTCTATTTATAAATGCATCACCAAACAAAAAGTAACTTGGATTTTTTATTGTATTCTTCTGGATTTTTACAGTATGGTGTTTTATATTTAGATCTCTGATGTATATTTTGAGTTTTTCTTTTTTTGAATAATGTAAGATCTGTGTCTAGACTCATTTTTTGCATGTGTATATCCAGTTGTTCCCATATAATTTGTTGAAAAGACTATCCTTTCTCCACTGAATTGCATTCATTCCCTTGTTAAAGATGAGTTTACTGTATTTGTGTATGTATATTTCTGCTCAATTGATCTTTTTTTCACTAATGCCAAACTACTTAATTATAGTAAATATTGAAAGTGAGTACTAGTCTTCCAACTCTTTTCTTTTTCTTCAGTATTGTGTTGGATATTCTGGGCCTTTTTTCTTTCCAAATAGATTTGGAATCAGTCCATATGCACAAAATTGCTTTCCAGGATTTTGTTGGAATTGTGTGGAATCTACATATCAATTTGAGAAGAACTGACATCTTAAAAATATTAAGTCTTCCATTCCATGAACATAGGATATCTCTGCACTTATTTAGATCTTTAAATTTTCATCAGAGTTTTATAGTTTTCTGCATATGGATCCTATACATATTACGTAAGATTTATGTCTAGTATTTCAATCTTTTGTGGTGTTATTGTAAATAGCATTGTTTTTTATTTCAATTGTTCATTTCTTAGTATACAGGAATATAAACATTTTGTATATAAACATTGTAACCTCCAACTTTGCTATATTCACTTAATAGTTCTAGGTGTTATTTTCTTGCTGTTTATTGTTTGGGACTTTCTTACACAGATACACACATCATCTTTAAATAATGAGTTTTATTTTTTCCTTCCCAATTTATGTGCTTTTTCTTATCTTACTATACTACCTGGCATTGCCAGTACAATACTGAAAAGAAGTGGGGAGAGGGACAGACTTTCCTGGTTCCTGACTGAAGGGGAAAATATTTAGTTTCTCATGAAGTATGATATTAGATGCAGGGTTTTTTATCCTTTTTTAATTTTTTATTATGGTATCATATAAAATCACATGAGCAACATTGTGGTTACTAGATTCCCCCATTATCAAGACCCCACCACATACTCCATTACAGCCACTGTCCATCAGCATAGTAAGATGCTATAGAGTCACTACTTGTCTTCTCTGTGCTATACTGCCTTCCTTATGCCTGCCCCTACATTATGTGTGCTAATCATAATACCCCTTAATCCCCTTATCCCTCCCTTCCCACTCACCGTCCCCAGTCCCTTTCCCTTTGGTAACTGTTAGTCCATTCTTTGGTTCTGTGAGTCTGCTGTTTTGTTCCTTCAGTTTTTGCTTTGTTGTTATACTCCACAGATGAGTGAAATCACCTTTCGCCACCTGGCTTATTTCAGTGAGCATAATACCCTCTAGCTCCATCCAGGTTGTTGCAAATGGTAGGATTTGTTTTCTTCTTATGGCTGAATAATATTCCACTGTGTATATGTACCACATCTTCATCCATTCATCTACTGATGGACATTTAGGTTGCTTCCATTTATTGGCTATTGCAATAGTGCTGCGATAAACATAGGGGTGCATCTGTCTTTCTCAAACTTGATTGCTGCATTCTTAGGGTAAATTCCTAGGAGTGGAATTCCTGGGTCAAATGGTAAGTCTGTTTTGAGCATTTTGATGAACCTCCATACTGCTTTCCACAATGGTTGAACTAATTTACATTCCCACCAGCAGTGTAGGAGCGTTCCCCTTTCTCCACAACCTCGCCAACATTTGTTGTTGTTTGTCTTTTGGATGTTGGCCATCCTAACTGGTGTGAGGTGACATGTCATTGTGGTTTTAATTTGCATTTCTCTGATGATTAGCGATGTGGAGCATCTTTTCATGTGTCTGTTGGCCATTTGAATTTCTTCTTTGGAGAAGTGTCTGTTCAGATCCTCTGCCTATTTTTTAATAGGGTTATATGCTTTTTGGGTATTGAGAAGTGTGAGTTCTTTATATATTTTGGATGTTAACCCCTTGTTGGATATGTCATTTACAAATATATTCTCCCATACTGTAGGATGACTTTCTGTTCTGCTGATAGTGTACTGTGCTATACAGAAGCTTTTTAGCTTGATGTAGTCCCATTTGTTCGTTTCTGATTTTGTTTCTCTTGCTGAAGAATATCCATCCAGGAAGAAGTTGCTCATGTTTATATTCAAGAGATTTTTACCTATGTTTTCTTCTAAGAGTTTTAAGGTTTCATGACTTACATTCAGGTCTTTGATCCATTTCGAGTTTACTTTTGTGTATGGAGTTAGACAATAATTCAGTTTCATTCTCTTGCATGTAATTGTCCACTTTTGCCAACACCAGTTGTTGAAGAGGCTGTCATTTCCCTACTGTATATCCATGGTTCCTCTATCATGTATTAATTGACCATAAATGATTGAATTTATATCTGGGCTCTCTAGTCTATTCCATTGGTCTATGGGTCTGTTCTTGTGCCAGTACCAAATTGTCTTGATTACTGTGGCTTTGTAGCAGAGTTTGAAGTTGGGAAGCATAATACCCCCAGAATTATTCTTCCTTCTCAGGATTGCTCTGGCTATTCAGGGTCTTTTGTGGTTCCCTATGAATTTTGGAACTCTTTGCTCTAGTTCATTGAAGAATGCTGTTGGTATTTTGATAGGGATTGCATTGAATCTATAGACTGCTTTCGGCAGGATGGCCATTTTGACATTAATTCTTGCTATCCGTGAGCACGGGATGTGTTTCCATATATTGGTATCTTCTTTAATTTCTCTCACGAGTGTCTTGTAGTTTTCAGAGTATAGGTCTTTCACTTCCTTGGTTAGGTTTATTCCTAGGTATTTTATTCTTTTTGATGCAGTTGTGAATGCAATTGTTTTCCTAATTTCTCTTTCTGCTAGTTCATTAGCATTTAGGAATGTAACAGATTTCTGTGCATTAATTTTGTATCCCGCAACTTTGCTGAATTCAGATATTAGATATAGTAGTTTTGGAGTGGACTCTAGGGTTTTTTACCTACAATATCATGTCACCTGCGAACAGGGACAATTTAACTTCTTCCTTGCCATTCTGGATGCCTTTTCTTTCTTTGTATTGTTTGAATGCCATGGCTAGGACCTCCAGTACTATGTTGAATAGAAGTGGGGAGAGTGGGCATCCTTGTCTTGTTCCCAATCTTAAAGGGAAAGCTTTCAGCTTCTCACTGTTAAGTATAATGTTGGCTGTGGGTTTGTCATATATGGCCTTTATTATGTTGAGGTACTTGCCCTCTATACCAATTTTGTTGAGAGTTTTTATCATGAATGGATGTTGAATTTTGTCAAATGCTTTTTGAGCATCTATGGAGATGATCATGTGGTTTTCGTCCTTCCTTTTTTTGATGTGATGGATGATGTTGATGGATTTTCGAATGTTGTACCATCTTGCATCCCTGGAATAAATCCTACCTGAGCATGATGGATGATCTTTTTGATGTATTTTTGAATTTGGTTTGCTAATATTTTGTTGACTATTTTTGCATCTAATGTTCATCAAGGATACTGGTCTGTAATTTTCTTTTTTTGTGGTGTCTTTGCCTTGTTTTGGTATTAGAGTGATGCTGGCCTCATAGAATGAGTTTTGAAGTATTCCCTCTTCTTCTACTCTTTGGAAAAGTTTTAGGAGGATGGGTATTAGGTCTTTACTAAATGTTTGAAAGAATTCAGTGGTGAAGCCATTTGGTCCAGGGATTTTGTTCTTAGGTAGTTTTTTGATTACCAATTCAATTTTGTTGCTGGTAATTGGTCTGTTCAATTTTCTGTTTCTTTCTGGGTCAGCCTTGGAAGGCTGAATTTTTCTAGAAAGTTGTCCATTTTTTCTAGGTTATCCAGTTTGTTAGCATATACTTTTTCATAGTATTCTTTCATAATTCTTTGTATTTCTGTGGTGTCCATAGTGATTTTTCCTTT